CTTCAAATATAGACTAATTTCTACTGCTTTTAGCCCTCTGTTTCCTATGAGAAATGGAAGCTAAATATAAAGATAAACGTTGCAGATTTTAATGAAGATTTACTGGGAATTTTATAAGATCTGGACAATTTAAGGCACGTATTAACAAAGTAATTTGTTTTAACATAAGCAGGGCTGGATTAAGAGCCTATTGGGCCTGGTGCTGATGATTATAATTGGGGCTAAGTACAGAATCTTTCTGATAGAAAGCACTCATATTGCGAACAGCAATATCTCCTGGGTATCTTGTATCTGGTGGAAGTGGTGCCGAAGGGACAACTGCATGATGTGTTTTATGAAGACACATGTCCTATGTTAATCCCTTTCTTCTTTCTCAGTCTACCTGTCCATCTTACAAGCCCCACTACTCTCAACCTCTCTGGTCAAGATGTATTTATCCAGTCATCTCCTTCCCTTCCTACTAGCAGGCAGATGATCGACCTGGTATGAAGACAAAGACAGATAAAGAGGTGGATGTAGTGTGTGTAGCAGAAAGGGGACATACTGTCACATGATAAGAGGAATATGTTAGAGAGATAGAAGCTACAAGAACATTTGCACAGTGCACAGAGTCAGCTTCACAGCCAGCACACAAATTTTGCTCCCCTGCACATCATACTTACATATCTCCCAACATGGCAGGGATAGAGAGAGGGGGCTAAGATCTGATTAGGCATTCTTCTCAATCGGCAGAGTGAAATAACAAGGGGAACTAATAATTAAAGTGACAGAGCACATTTTTTATCAAACAGTCACACATTAAAAGTAGTTATGTCCCGAACGGTTCGCCGAACGGTTCGCCACGAATGGCGAACATATGCACTGTTCGGTCCGCCCCCTATGTCATCATTGAGTAAACTTTGACCCTGTACCTCACAGTCAGCAGACACATTCCAGCCAATCAGCAGCAGACCCTCCCTCCCAGACCCTCCCACCTCCTGGACAGCATCCATTTTGAAGCTGCATTCTTAGTGAGCTGTCCAGGAGGTGAGAGGGTCTGGGAGGGAGGGTCTGCTGCTGATTGGCTGGAATGTGTCTGCTGACTGTGAGGTACAGGGTTAAAGTTTACTCAATGATGACGAATAGGGGGCGGACCGAACAGCGCATTTGTTCGCCATCCGTGGCGAACCGTTCAGCGAACCGTTCGGGACATCACTAATTAAAAGTGTTAATTTACACACACACACACACACACAAAAAGTTAAAAACCCAACAGAAAAAAATAATTATATAGTTTATTCTAATTTTATTTTTTTTATTGCAAGAAAATTGGTGTGGTGCTTCCCCGGCTACCCCTATGGATGAGCCTCCACTGCATATTAGTTTCATAGGAATGCATTTTTAGAACAATAGTAAAAGATGACCTATAATACTGTCATATATTCTCAGGTCTCTCTGATATTCAATGTACATTATCATTCTGCTGTAACTACACTTAGCCCATTTAACTCCTATCATGAAAAATAAACACATACGGAGCATGCATCAGATATCACTGAATAATGCATTGCACAAATCTTTTAGCACGGCACATTGGGCCTTTTTGTTTTTTTTTATGATTTGCCATTAATCATGTAGTGCGTCACAATATTGATAAAGTTGTCTGAGTGCGTCACCACTTCAAAAAAAAATGTTAATGTTGTAACTGGGCATGAAATCACTCAGTCATGTCCAAATTCACTCTTGCTTAGGGTTTATACATAATGTATTTATTTGCTCACTCTCAGGCACTCTGCCTATGTATTGTACATAATATGAAATTTCTTTCATGGAACTGGAAAGGAAAACATTCTGAGCATTAAAAGAGAATATTAACCCATGCACTTCCAAAGACGAGGTTATAATTTCTTGTTAACTACTGTCCTACGGTCTTCAGCAGTATTATAGGATGTGCTTTTTGCCTAAAGAGTTAAAAAGACAACTTAAAACAGACATTTTATATTTTTTTATTTATTTATTTTTTCCTTATACCCACTGCAGCTTAAGCACTTAAGGACCACGTGATGGTCTATGCCATCATGCAGTGCAGGGCTTTAATGCCCAGTGACAGCAAAGACCGTTATGTAGTCAAGATACCAGCAAGGGTTACATCTCCTGCTCATAGCCCTTTAAATTGATATAAATGCGATCTTGCTACCGCTGTAGATTTAAAAATCATAATGTCCCCCTCAAGCCTTTTCAGACCCTTCGGTAGATCTCTCTGCTTGATTCTGCAACAGGATCGGTGCCGGGTTCTGCTAGCTGCCCAGCATCGATCTGTGTGTGAGAAGCTGCAGCATGATGAAAGGGAGCTCTCCCTCTCATGCTATAATTACAATGTACACCTCTGTACTATGTGAGCTGAGAAATCCTTCTGCTGATTTCAATAACGAACATGCCATCAAGATAAACTATGACAAAACTATTCAAGTACTCGCTAAGGACATCATTGACCAAGTCATGAAACACGGCAGGGGCATTACACAACCCAAATGGCATACCCAAATACTCGTAAAGCTAGGTGTATTACATGCGGTTTAACACTCATCAACCTCTTTGTTTTTTACTAAATTATAAGCACCATGTAAGTCTAATTTAGTGAACCATGTGGATCCTTGAAGGGGGTCGAAGGGTTCGGTGATAAGTGGTATAGGATACACGTTTTTAATGGTGATCTTATTCAGACCTCTATAATTAAAGCGGGGTCTTAAGTCCCCTCCTATTTGGAGAAAAAAAAAGACCTGCACCAGGGTAAAAAAGAACGTCTAATATAGTCTTTTTGTAATGTCTCCTCTATGTATTCCTCCATAACCAATTTCTCTTTGAGAGGGAGAGGATAAACCCTGCTCCTGGGTGGCATAGAAATTGGTAGCAGATTTATAGTGCAATTACATGGCCTATGCTGGGTGAAGATGGTCGGCCTTTCCCTTGTCAAATACTTTTTTCAAGTCTTTGTATAGTGTAGGAATAGTTGTAGTGAGTGGAGGAGCGGTAGGAGTCTTTAAATTGACTACAGGTTTTACTGTGAATAAACAGGAGCCCTGACAACTTATACCCCAAGCCATAATTTGCTCTGTAACCCAATCAATGGTGGCATCGTGTAGATAAAACTAAGGAAAACCTAAAACAGGACAATACGGAGAAGAAAGGATTTGAAATATAATCTATTCTTTGTGATGCACCCACTGTAGTAGTGATATTTTGTGTCTCATGAGTAGTATTAAGATTAAGTAGAGGTCTACCATTTTTCTATCAATGGCCAAGTGTGTTTCACGTAGTTAGATATGGATACCTATAAAAGCTCTAGAATTGATCAATGCACTGGTAAGACTGGAACCAGAACCCCATTCTAAGTTGACGGGAAGAGACAGTCGGTAATTAGACAATTTAGGAGAAATAGCACACACACCCAAGTACGGTCCCATAGATGGAATTAGGTGCGAGAGTTTTCCGGTCTAGAGTGACAAGAGTTTCTGAAGTGATCCTTTTGCCACAATACATGTAGAGACCTTCTTTGAGTCTGATTAATGTGACCCAAGTTAACCCTAACTTGGTTGTTCAGTAAGAGGTTCAAGAGGTGAAATGCTAACCTAAAAATAGGTTTACAGCCCTTGTCTGTAGCAGCAGACCTGTCTCTTAATCAATTATCAATGTCTGACATTAAAGCTATGATTCCACTAAACCCTCAGGAGGGTCTTAAGTCCCCTCCTCTTTAGCAGCTTGCACAAATTGGTCCATGCTTCGATCCATGTGTGCTGCGCAGGAAGCAATCTGTTGCCCTAAGTCTGCAGGGTTCATAGCCCTGTTGTAATATATAGACCGACCTGACCCTAACACACAAACCTTGTTTAAAGATAAAGAATGAATGCACTTAGAATATAATGTGAATGTCTGCAAGAAGAGACAGAATAAAGATAATCAGGCCGAGGTCAAGAATAACAGAGGTAAACGGAAAAGAGAAACAAGCCACAGTCAGGATAACAGAGCGCAAGAATAGTCAGGCATGTCAAAGTAAAAAAAGCAGATAATTATAGTCAAAAATGCACTCTCGGGTATGCAGAAACCACGACAGGACAAGGAAACAAGGACAGCCAGGAGGTAAATATACCCTATATTGGGTTGTGATTAATGTGATATTGCAAGATAGATGGTGAAATCAAAGTTCGGGTCCAGTTCTAATCCCTTTAGGACCGGACTATTTTTGCGATGTTTGTACATTAAGGACCAGAGCTATTTTAACATTTTTGTGGTGTTTGTGTTTAGCTGTAATTTTCCGCTCTCTCATTTACTGTTCCCATACAAATTATATATTGTTTTATTCAGGACAAAAAGGGCTTTCTTTACATACTATTATTTTTATCATGTCATATAATTTAATTTAAATATACCGTATATACTCGAGTATAAGACGAGTTTTTCGGCACATTTTTTTGTGCTCAAAAAGCCTCCTCGTCTTATACTCGAGTCATGGTCTGTATTATGGCAAATTACATTGCCATAATACAGACCATAACATGTTGGGAGCCGGAGCAAGCTGTTACTTACCTTTACAGCTGCTCCGGTCAGCTCCCAGCACCTCCGCGCGGCTCTCAGTGTAAATCTCGCGAGACACGCGGACCGCGAGATTTACACTAGGAGAAGACCACGTGTAGGTAGGACGGTGATTGTTAACGGCCGTCCCCCTACACAGACCCCCTGCTCCTGAAAAGCCCCCCTGCTGCCCCCTGCACAGCCTGCCTCTGAAAAGCCCCTGCCCCCGCCTGCCCCTGCACAGCCCCCTGCCTCTGAAAAGCCCCTGCCCCTGCACAGTCCCCCTGCCCCTGAAGTCCCCTGCCCCTGAAAGCCTGCCCCTGCACAGTCCCCCTGCCCCTGAAAAGCCCCCACTGCTCCTGAAAGCCTCCCTGCACAGTCCCCTGCCCCTGAAAAGCCCCCTGCCCCTGCACAGTCCCCTGCCCTGAAAAGCCTCCCCTGCCCCTGCACAGTCCCCCCTGCCCCCTGCCCCTGAAAAGCCCCCACTGCTCCTGAAAAGCCCCCTGCCCCTGAAAAGCCCCCCCACTGCTCCTGAAAAGCCTGCCCTGCACAGTCCCCCTGCCCCTGAAAAGCCTCCCTGCCCTGAAAAGCCTCCCCTGCCCCTGCACAGTCCCTGCCCCACTGCTCCTGAAAAGCCTCCCCTGCACAGTCCCCTGCCCCTGAAAGCCCCTGCCCCTGCACAGTCCCCCTGCCCCTGCAAGCCCCCTGCCCTGAAAAGCCCCCTGCCCCTGAAAAGCCCCCTGCCCTGAAAAGCCTGCTCCTGAAAAGCCTGCCCCTGCCCCTGCACAGTCCCCTGCCCTGCACCTGCAAAAGCCTCCTGCCTCCCCTGGCCCCCTGCCCCTGCCCCCCCTGCACAGTCCCCTGCCCTGAAAAGCCCCTGCTGCCTGAAAAGCCTCCCCTGCCCCTGAAAAGCCTGCCTGCACTTGCACAGTCCCCCCCTGCCCCCTGAAAAGCCCCCTGCCCCTGAAAAAAGCCCCCCACTGCTCCTGAAAAGCCTGCCCCTGCCCCTGCCCCTGCACAGTCCCCTGCCCCTGCTGCCCCCTCTGCCCTGAAAAGCCCCCCTGCTCCTGAAAAGCTCTGCCCCTGCACAGTCCCCTGCCCTGAAAAGTCCCCCTGCACAGCCCCCCTGCCTGCACAGTCCCCTGCCCTGCACATTCCCCCCTGCCCCTGAAAAGCACTGCTTCTGCGGAACCCCTGCCCCTGAACAGACCCCCCCTGCACCTGCACAGCCCCCCCTCCCTGGTCAAGTATGAAGTAGGGAGGGGGGGACAAAAAAAGTTGGAAAAAAGTTAAAATAATAAAAAAAATGCCCAGTTGATGGGAGTCTGACTCCCTTTTCAGTATATAATGCAGAGTGTGCATTTTATATCCACACACTCTGCATTAAATACATGGAGTCAGACTCCCATCAACCTGAGTCACCCTCTAAAATGCAGAGTGTGTGTATATACTGTAGAGTGTGCATTATATACACACACACACTGCATTTTAGGTGCAAGAGGGTGACTCGGGTTGATGGGAGTCTGACTCCCTGTATTTAATGCAGAGTGTGTGCATTATTTACACACACACACTCTGTATATAATGCAGAGTGTGTGTGTGTGTGTATATAGTGCACACACTGCATTATATACAGGGAGTCAGAAATTGGAGTCAGACTCCCATCAACCTGAGTCACCCTCTAAAATGCAGAGTGTGTGTATATAATGTAGAGTGTGCATTATATACACACACACTGCATTTTAGGTGCAAGAGGGTGACTCTGGTTGATGGGAGTCTGACTCCCTGTATTTAATGCAGAGTGTGTGCATTATATACACACACACTCTGTATTTAATGCAGAGTGTGTGTGTGTGTGTGTGTGTATATATAGTGCACACACTGCATTATATACAGGGAGTCAGAAATTGGAGTCAGACTCCCATCAACCTGAGTCACCCTCTAAAATGCAGAGTGTGTGTATATAATGTAGAGTGTGCATTATATGCACACACGCTGCATTTTAGGTGTAAGAGGGTGACTCGGGTTGATGGGAGTCTGACTCCCTGTATTTAATGCAGAGTGTGTGCATTATATACACACACTCTGTATATAATGCAGACTGTGTGTGTGTGTATATATAGTGCACACACTGCATTATATACAGGGAGTCACACACATACAAAGACACATACCGTACATACAGATAGACACAATCAGACACACACAAGCCATACATACAAAGACACATACAACATTAAATACAGGGAGTCAGACTCCCATCAACCTGAGTCACCCTCTAAAATGCAGAGTGTGTGTATTATATGCACACACGCTGCATTTTAGGTGCAAGAGGGTGACTCGGGTTGATGGGAGTCTGACTCCCTGTATTTAATATTGTATGTGTCTTTGTATGTATGGCTTGTGTGTGTCTGATTGTGTCTATCTGTATGTACGGTATGTGTCTTTGTGTGTGTGTGTCTATATGTATGGGTGCCTGTCTGTCTGTGTGTGTCTCTGTATGTATGGGTGTGTGTGTCTCTATATGTACCGTATGTGTGTGTGTTATTGTCTGTCGGGGGGTAAGAAGGAGGGAGGGAGGGACCAGTGGTCCCACTTACTGGTTCTCCGGTGCAGTGCAGGTGTTCTCCGGTCTCTCCCACTCATCCTCTGCAGCCTCTGTGGGTGGTCCAATGACTGTTGATATCACCGCTCTTCTTTTCTCCTGCACGCCGGGCGTAACGCAGCGCATGCAGTAACACTGCGTGTATAGTATGAGCCCCAACACAGGCTGCTCTATGCATACATAGTTGGCATTCTTTTTCAAGGTCTTTTTTTTTTAATCCTGTTAGGAATGGATCCCAATACTTCTAATCCCGGACCAAAACAAAAACGCAGGTCATACGAAGCTGGTTTCAAGCTCAAGGTTGTGTCAAGAGCAGAAGAAAGCAATAACAGTATTGCAAGTAGGGAATTTTGTGTTGGTGAAAAACAAGTCAGGGAGTGGAGGAAAATGAAAGCTGACTTGGAAAAGATTCCAAAGGCAAAAAAAGCTCGACGTGGTTTAACGACTTCATATGGGGCTCTAGAGACTGAATTGCACATATGGGTTATGGAGTGTCGGCAAAATGGTTACTGCGTAACACGCATGGGAATTCGCTTACGTGCCCTTCAAATGGCTAAAGATGAAAAATTAAAAGCACCAGGCATTGAAAATTTTGTTGCGTCAGCAGGATGGTGTACCCGCTTCATGAATCGGTTTTCCCTATGTTTGCGGCAAAGAACAAAGATTTCACAGAAGTTGCCAAAAGACCTTGATGAAAAATTGATGTCATTCCATTCATTCATCATAAAACAAAGAAGGATCCATAACTATGACCTGGGAGATATTGGTAATATGGATGAAACACCTATGACCTTTGATCTTCCAAGCAACAGAACTGTGGCAAGTTTGGGAGACAAAACTATTTTACTCAGAACCACAGGAAATGAAAAAAACCATTTCACAGTCGTTCTGTCATGTTTGGCTAATGGAACTAAGCTACGGCCTGTCATTATTTTTAAAAGAAAGACCTTGCCTAAAAAGATAAAATTCCCACCACGAATTACAGTGCGCGCACATGTTAAAGGCTGGATGGATGAAGACGGAACAAAAAAATGGCTGGAAGAAATTTGGAACGGACGACCAGGAGCAGCCTTAAAGAAAAAACCATCATTGCTAGTTTGGGATATGTTCAGAGCCCACACATCTGATGACATAAAAAAAATTGGCAAAGTCTTCTCAAGTTACTTTGGCCGTTATTCCAGGTGGGCTTACATCTGTATTGCAGCCCCTAGATGTGTGTTTAAATAAACCTTTCAAAGACCGTGTGCGAAAGAAGTGGCATGAATGGATGTCATCTGGTCAACCCCGACTGACAAAAGTTGGAAATCTGATGAAGCCCGACATAGAATTGATAGCAAAATGGGTTCGTGATGCATGGGAAGAGATTCCAGAGGGCATGGTGCAACGCGCCTTCAAGAAATGTGGCATTAGTAATGCTATGGATGGCAGAGAAGACAGCGCTTTGTATGAGGACAGCAGTGATGGTGATGACTGCGAACTCAGTGATGATGACAATGTCTACGCTGATAACCTCACACCAGCTACAGTTGAAGCTCTGTTTGGACATACAGATGATGAGGAATCCAGTTTTGAAGGATTTTAACTCATTTAGCTGTTTTAGTTTAGTTGGATTTTGTACTGTTAAAGTTATTGTTGATACCATATTGTTTTTGCTGACCCTCTTTTTCCCCTTTCAGAGCTAGTTTACTGTTTGTCTTTGAAATAAATATTCAAAAACCTTTAACCTACTCAATTAATGTAATTTTATTGGTATCTATTTTTATTTTTGAAATTTACCAGTAGCTACTGAATTTCCCACCCTAGTCTTATACTCGAGTCAATAATTTTTTCCATTTTTTTGTGGTAAAATTAGGGGCCTCGGCTTATATTCGGATCGGCTTATACTCGAGTATATACGGTAATAAAATATGGTGAAAAAAAAACATTTTTTTGACTTTTACTTAAAAAATCTTTTACTGATCTACAAAATTGAATGAAACAAACTGCTAAATAGATTCAAAATTTTGTCCTGAGATTAAAAACACGCAATGTTTATGTGTTTTTTTGCTTTTATTTGCAAGTTATAGGGCTATAAGTACAAGTAGGAAATTGCTTTTTCAAAATGTACATTTTTCAAATGTATCAATAGTGACATTGTCACACTGTTATGTCATAAATCTCCAAAAAACACCCCACATGTATATATTTTTCTTAAACTAGATAACCCAGGGTATTCATCTAAGAATATTTTGATACTTTCTATGCAGCCATTCTACCACAAACCTTTGCCAAACTTTGCATAGGTAGTTTATTTATTTTTTTCACATACATTGCAATTCAGGTATAAATTCACAGATTCTGTTATGTGTCACTGCCAAACAACACCCCAATATGTGTTCAGCAACATCTCTCGAGTACAGGGATACCCCCCATGTAAAGGTGTGTCGGTTGTTGGGGGCTAAAAAGCCACATTTTGCAGGTGCGCATATTAGTTTCCCAGCTTGGAATTTTGACATGTAGTCAACCTGCATGCATGTCCTATTTGGGACATTTTTGAAGCCGGCCAATGTATTTTATCCTATCAAACCATATATTTTTGAAAAGTAAAACACCCTAGGGTATTTCACATGGTGGTATTTTAACACTTTCCATGCACTAATTCTACCACCAGGCTTTGTCAAACATTGAGTTAGTAAATTTGTTTCTGTTTTTTTTCACACACATTGTACTTTAGGCATGAATTAATAGATCGTGTTATGTGTCACTGCCAAACAACACCCCAATATGTGTTCAGCAACATCTCCCGAGTACAAGGATACCCCCCCATGTATAGGTGTGTTGGGTTGTGTGTAGTGGTAATTTTTTAATTCTGTTTTTTATGCACACGTCATCTAGTTTTGGCCAGCTGGTTGTGTTACTGCCAGAAAACTTGTTAGACCAAATGTGCAGGTAGCAAAGGTACATTTAGCAGCAATCCTTAAACTGACTCCTGCAAATAGAATCTAACTGGAGATTTGGGGGAAGGAAACTGATTAACAAAAAATGGCTGCTTTCCAAAGAAACAAAATAAAATAAAAATTCAGGAACACTTCTAACAATTGTTCTGTGTAGTACAGCTTGAAACATGTTCCTACACACAGTCCTGGTTTCGAAGGGCAATCAGGA